GATGTCAAGGTAGTTTTCACGTACACTGTGATCACGTTATGTACTTGGATCTGCTGACACTTTTTCCCTCTTTGTGAACAAACCAGATTCCTCCGGCTGAGGAAGAAAATTATAAAAATGTGTTGAAGGTGGATAGGACATAAATTGTGGAAAGCACAGAACTACATCACGATACAAGCCATAACTTGAAACCTTCATAGTCAAAAGAAAAAGGGTAGATCAAGGAACAAATAGCTATGAAAAAGGAATAAAAAACGTCTGTGAAGGGCTTGAAACAGGTTCCGGACAGAGTAGGTTAGATAATGTTGGTCGATGGCTGATACGTCATGTGTCATGCTTAGTGAGTCAGAAAACATCATTACTTACTTACTTACTTACTTTCGCTTGTTACCCCTAATAGAGCATAGGCCGCCCATCAGCGTTTTCCAATACACTCCATTCTCGGCCTTCCTTTTCAGTTCTGTCCAAGTGTCATTCATTCTTCTCATATTTGTCTCCATTTCTCGACATAATGTATAGTTTGATCTTCCTGTTTTCCATTGAGCTTGAGGGTTCTAGTGGAGGGCTTGTCTTGTGACGGAGTCGGGTACTTTCTGCAGTATGTGTGTCCTATTCACTTCCAGCGCTTCCGCCGGATTTCTTCCTCCGCTGGAATCTGGTTTGTTTTCTCTCACAGTTGGTGGTTACTGATAGTGTTTAACCGTTTCATTGAATAAATAATTTTCAGTGTAACATTTAGTTTGTGTCGGAAATTCTCTAGAGAATTTATGAATTCTTTTGCACCTGTTATGTTCTTCCTTCCTTGTAATATATAAATTTCTATTCTCGTCAGGTTTGTGAAATCGGTCAAATAATCGTTTGAACTAATTTTTCTGTATAGCTTATTACATAGAAAGTTTTACAGTTTCGACAAACATTGCTTTTAAGTTGAAGGTTCTAAGAAATTTCATCATGGAAATACCACATTGCAATATTAGTAGTCATGGTAAGCTTGAAATCCTTACAGTAAACAAAACGTATCACAAACAGTGTAATATTTTCCTGTTGGTTGAACCTCTTTTACTCAACGTTTCTGTCACTGGAATTGTTTACTTCAAGTTGTGTCCGTCAAGGATGTCCACTCTCTCCATTCTGGTTTAATTTTGTCATGGACATGCTTCTAGATATTATATTAACTTCGTCTGAATTTTCAAGAGTAGACCTTCTACCAGGAGGCTCGCCGATGACATAGTTCTATTCGATGAAGATGCTGACAAAATGCAGTCTTCTGATTATTTTAAGCAACAATGCAAGTATTTTTGGGATGCGGTTTTCCTCGTTGAAATGCAAAATGATGTCTCGAGATTGATTTGTGTCGGCACCTGAACTAGTGATAGGGAGTGAAGCAGTTGAGCCTGAAGACCGCTTCACTTATCTGCGGAGTCTCATCAGTGCCTATGGCCTGGTTTGTGACGAAATCTCATCATGGATACAGAAGGCTCGATTGGCTTTTGCCAACCTGCGTCACTTATGGCGCAGGCGAGATATCCGCTTGTTAACCGTTTGCAAACAAATGGACGAGTCTACTGCGAAGTAGTCCGCTCCGTCCTACTCTATGGCTGTGAAACATGGCCAGTGAGAGTAGAAGATATTCGTAGGTTACTGGTTTTCGATCAAAGGTTTCTCCGAAGCATTGCTCGTGTATAGTGAAAAACCGAATAAGCAATGCTGTTGTTAAGAAACGGGTGCTAGGTAAGAGTGACAGGTCAAGTAATGAAACTTCATCAGTTGAATGCTAGGGGCGGTCAGACCAAAACATGGCACAAATCCATGAAGTCACTGACAAGTGGATTGATTCATGTTGGTAGGTGTAGATTACCTTGTTGGGGGTCCGCGAGACGAAGGTCACCAGTGATTAGAGACCTTGAACGACAAGGCTCAAAATAGTTTGCAATCGCGCTGGTGCATTCATTCCTTCTGTTCTCTCAAATCCTAACTTTCAGAGTTCCTCATTACCATTATCTTTTTCTTTTTAAGTTTATTTCAGTAGAGTCTACTTCTTGAATAATATCCTTCAACCTTATTCTCTCCGATTACTGCTAATCCTTTCACTATCTCTACTACTAATACGGGATTTGAATTGACACTTCCACTTCTCTGTGTTCATATGGTCTGACAACGTGAACTGATGTACGTACGTACGTACGTACATACGAAGTTCTACGATGCTGTTAATTGACTGACTGATTGATTGACTCAATCAATGTTTCTTAATAAACACTCTTGAGAAAATCCATGCACATTTCCATCAGTTTGACGACAATCCATCAATAAGGTCACCTAAATGAATTTGAGAATTTTTCTTCCTGTTAAGTTGAACCGTGTCAAGTTTTACGTAATCACTTTAAGTAATAAATAAAGTTTTTTTCTTTTCAAGAAAAACACTTTTTACAACATGGTCATAACAGTTTTCCTTTTTTTAGAAGAAAGGCATAATCTACAGTGCAAAATACTAAATTTCACACTAACTAACTAACTAACCCCAATCAAGAAATGATAGAATTTTATTACCCTTATGTTTTTAATACTGTTTATACTGTTTTCAATTTTTTATTCAACTACTCTACTTGTGTGTACATTAATAAATATGAAGAAGTAGTAGTTTTCACAAAAACTTATCTTATCTTTATTATTATTATTATTACTATTACTGCCCTGATATTATTAGTTTTTACGACCAAATTTTTAAACAAAGTGTACTTTGGTTATTACCGAACGGTTTAGGGAGAAAAAAAAATCAGTCTTTTAATAATAATATGCTTGTTACACTAGTGTTTTAGATATAATGTTTATCACTTGTGTGAATGAAAAGTTTTTATTGATATAAAAAGTTTTAATCTGATAACACTGTTACGTATAAATTCGTATCATGTATTCACAAGTGTTCACGTATCAACCTTCCCTTACACACACACACACACACATACACGTATGTATATTTAGAATGGTATTGACACATCGGAACAGGTACATGTCGTTAGATCAATCTTTCTAGAATATTGAAGAGGAAAATTATTGAATTTTGAAAAATCATACTTCACACAATTTAAACAAAACAAATAAAAAGGCAAAAATTAGAAAATTTAACTTTAGGAAGTAAGGATTTTTGATATTGTGAAATTCAAGTTTTATACTTTTTGTATGTATGGAAAGTACCGTGTTTGATTATTTACTTACGTAGGCAGCCGACCAACTCTTTGCTGAACACTTCTTTTCAGTTGTGTTATCGATTTGAGATATTTACAGAACAGTATAAATAGTCGACGATTTGCTTGATCCTTATTAATTGTCGATTATTTGGTGAATAAAAATGGTGTAGAACGGATTTCATAAAATATGTGTGTAAGAGATGGTGTTTGCGGAAATCACCGGACTGTATAACGAGGGAAGCTCTGACCTGTTGTAACTCTCTAGGTCACAGGAATAGAGGTAGACCAAAAAACACATTGTTTCGAAGAACTGAAAGAAGATGTGAAAAGAAATGACTAGCGATTGCGTAGAACTGGGTAGGAAAGGTTGGTTGGAGAATGCTAGTCGGCGGTCTATACTCCATTAGTGGTAAATGATTTTTTTTATAGAGTCACTACAAAAGTTACTGGTAGGTTCAATTTTATTTACGACTCGTTAGCTAAATGTACCTAAATCTCTCAGAGTTGATATTTTCTCCACTACTGAAACTTAGTATCGTTCGCTTTAAACATTATCACGTTATCCACTTAGCCAGTTACTTCAAATAACTACTCACTTGTGAACCGGATGTGAGATTCCAATGTTGATATTTTTCAATAAAATTTGGTCACTCATGGTATATGCAGCTGACGAGCTGTAGATAGGACGAAACGTACATCCTAGATTCCACTTCTAATTACACTGCATCAAAAAGTATAGAAATCTATCAAGTTTCGATTCATTTGACCGATTTACTTCTTTGATACTATATATATATATATATATATATATATATATATATATATATATGATGAACGAAGATGGAATACGTTAGTAATCTGAAAAGCGACACAATCTACTAACGAAAAGAGCGTATATCCATTTGCCAAAATTAGCCTATTCTTGGCTGTCTTCTTCCATATAACTTCTATTCCTTCAAACATTCTGACCACACATCGTGCCTTCGGGTACAACATTCTTTACTTTGTCCGTTACAACATAGTGACATTGTGCTGCATATCCATTGCGTACTACTCGTAAGCCTTGTTTGTAAGTAGTACACATTAGATATATATGATCATTATAAATGAGTAAGATCAAAAACAGAATAGCTTCGATAATAAACCAAGTACTCAAAAAATTACATTCGTATCAAACAAAATGAACGAAAACTCAACGAACGTAAAATTTTAACAAAAGCACCAATGTGAACTGCTGATTAGTCTCAGACCAGAACGAAACGGTCATTCGGTATCTCCAGGTTCCTAATGGTAGTACCAACATTGATCGTTTCATGATTTCAAAGTAAAACTCAATAACTTCCACTACTCTATCATGCAAATTATCATATGCTCATTAGTGACTAGTTCCATTAGGAAATCAACCGTGTTCAAGTGTGAACCAATAGTACTACTCTCTGAGGACAGTGGATGAGATTGCGCAAGACCGTAGATTGATAAATAATTAGACATTAACATCTTAAGATACCAACCAGCTCAGTGGTCCAGAGGTTTGCACGACAAACTGAAGGTCATGCGGTTGAATTCTGCTAGTTGAAGGAGTCGTGGATGCACATTGTTGATGAATCCCATACCAGGACGAAACGACCGTCCAGTGCTTCTAGGTTTTTGATGATGGTCCAACTAACATCGATCGATTAGAGATTTCAAGAAAAAAAAATTATTACTACTTATGAAAGAAATAAGTGAAGTTCAAAAATCAGTCGCTGAATTAAAATATGTTTCAGTGTTATTTATAAAATCAAGGTCATAATAATTTATGTGGCATTATAAATGTTTTCTGTATTGAGTTTGTGTATTCTTATGGCCTCTGGTATGTTAAAGAGGTAAATTACTGAATCATAGATCGAACTCTACTGGATTTGAGTTTAAAAATAAACACCATCACTGTTAAGTTCGTCACTAGGTACGCTTGAAGTTATTACGAGTTCACCTTAGTCGATAAACGCGAACAAGACAATGAACCAGCGTCCAGATAGGCTACCTTCAATCCCAAACTGTAAAACAGAAGTCTTGGTAAGCGTAGAAAGTATATTCTACAAACACCGAGCAATCACACAATATAATCAAGCACACAACTCTCGTTTATTTATACATTATAGGAACGTCCTTGGGACAGTTACGAAAATAGCACATTAAAATACACAGCAGCCAATCACAGCTATGGATGTCGCTGGTGGGAAATGAAATCTCAAGGTCAACTGATCAGCCCATGCTCGCAAACGTGAAAGCCAAAATTTAAGGCATTTATCAAGCGAGTTCTGGGTTTATATAACATCCCCAACAATCACTGAGGTGTATGTACTCACATCCAAATAACCTGAAACGGTACTTAACATATATTTAGGTTTGTACAGCTCGCTACCTATTATCAATAAGAAAAAAAATTGAAATTTGGCTGAAATGTTTGTGAAGGTTAATTCAAATTTAAGTTGGTTTTCATCAGATACTTTTGTCGATAAAAATAATCAGAAATTCACTGTGGACAGCAGTTTTGTCCTTGATGTATGGGACTTTGGTATCGGTTGATATTTGTTGTGATTTCGAGATGTTATGCAACTGGAGAAATGCACCCCTTGGTTTTCTGATCCGCATCTTCATATCTGCATCAGATCCACCATGTTCATGAATAATGCTCCCCAGATATGTAAAGGTTTTGACATCCTACGAAGATTTTTCCCTAAAGGCTGACTTGGTTGTTGCATGTTGTGTTCTATCTTTGTGCTGTACTTTTGTGTATGTTGAGACTTTCTGTTGCAGAGGTTGTTCACTTAACATTAGAAATGTCTCAACTAATATAAGTTTGATTTTTTACATACTGGAAAATAAGATTTTAAAAATCATTCAAATGTTTGCTTATTACCTAGCTGTAAATCTGAATATTTGTTCGGGGCGTTAGATCCTTAGAACTATTGCTTGATAAATGCCCTAATTTTGGTTTTTATGTTTCCGAGCCTGGGCTGATCAGTTGACTTTGAGATCAGATTTCCCACCAGGAAAATCCTCGGCTGTGATTGTGCTTGCTGGGTGTTTGGTAGAACACACTTTCTAAGTTATATCAAGACTTCTCGTTAACTGTTTGGGGTCAGCGGATCAGAGTAGCCTACCGGGACGCTGGTTCATTGTCTCGTTCTCGTTTATCGACTAAGGTGAACCTGTAATAGTTTCAAGCATACCTAGTGACGACCTTAACAATATTCTCGAAGGGAAGATGAATAAACTCATTGAAATCTACAAAATAACATCGCAAAATAATTTCACTTACAGATATTCTGTCAAATATGAGCAAGCATTTTAGTGGTTTCTCCACAAAAACTTAACAATGTGTAAGAAAAATCAATACAGAATAGAAACATTTTGAGTTTTAGTTCGTTTACATAACAAAATACACGACATGCGTTTCGTCCTATTCTAGACTTGTCAACTACATACGTATTCATCTTAATATTGGTCTTAGGAATAAGAAACAGAACTTCTCATATCAATAGTGTTATCCATCAAGGTACCGAGTTTAAGTCTACTATCCTCACGACTATGAGATTTGAACTGATAGTTGCGTCTCTGTATGCTGATGTGGTATGGTAACCTGAACTGATGTACTCATATTACCAAGTTCTACGTTGTAACTCACTGACTGACTGACTGCTTGACTGAGTTTAAACTAGTCATTTACTTGTTTCATTTCTAAAATATATTAGTTTATAAAAGATGATATTGTTTAATTTACCTAGATTAAATATACTTGCAAACTTAATAACTATTATGTTTGGTTATTGATTATTTGACAGCTTAATTTGTGAAAAAATCCAACGAAATTATTCCGAATGTAATCAATCATGGAATGTACTGAGTGAAGTTATCAAACAAGTGAGTGAAATTTTATTGAGTTCAGTCATTGAATGTGGTTTATTGTAGTATAAATTAAGATTTCTATCAACCCTTTAGTTTTGTTCTAAATCTTCTGAAAGAAAACAGCATTCTGAACGTACTAGAAAGTGTTTTTGTATATGTTCATTCAGATAATCTAGTTGAGAGTTCATGTTTTCTATGAAAAACCCCAATGGTCCGAAACAGCTATGTCAAGAAAGCTTTCAGTGTTGTCTAGTTAACAAATCTATAGAACATTTTTACAGCATACTGTCAAAGAACTCTTGCTATTCCTTCTGGTGATCGACTGGATTATTAAGAGGTCAACAATATCTGGAGGGAAGTTTGAGATACAGTGGACAACTACAACGTAACTGGTCTGACTGTTCTATCCCTTAAGTAACAACAAATGCAACACAAGACGATCAGTGTAGCAGCAGCCACAGCAGCAGTAGGTCTCAGCATACACAACGGTTAAAAGTATGATCTTTCGGTGCAACACAACATACAACAACCAAATCGCATTTGATGGAGAAGCTTTGAATGATGTCGAAACCTTTACATTATCTGGACAGTATCATTGATGAGTAAGGTGGATCAGATGCAAATGTGAAGGTACGGATCGGCAAAGCAAGAGCTGAATTTCTACAAGTGAAGAATATCTACAACTCCAAACAACTATCAACCAACACCAAAGTCAGAACTTTTCTATACAAATGTCAAGATAGTTCCACTGTATGGCCGGGAACTTTAAAAACTATCGAAGCTGTCATCTAAAAGATTAACAGTTGTTTACTTAATCCAATCAACTACAGCGTTAAATGTAACTTTGTTACTGCTGATCTTACTTAGTCTAGATGAAAACAAATCAACCTTTTAAATCAAATCCTCCGTAACCTCGTCACCTAACTCATCTTCTTCTACCATGCTCCAAAAATTAATCAAACTTTTTCCAGTTAACGCGTGATTGACCCACGAAGAATTAATATAAAACCGTGTACACAAATCACAAGGAACTATTTATGCACAGTGAACATTAATTAAATTGGTGAATGCCATTTAAATGAACCTGCCGTCATTCCTCTTTAGAGTCTAAGTCATAAATCACTTTGTTTGCAACCTACGATGTTAGAATATCAATATATATCCAACGTGGAACTCCCGGTTTATAACCCATCAAACACTTATATACGTTTTCTCTCTCTCAAAATGATCTCAAAATGCTATACGTATTTAACTACTGCCAGATAAACCCTATTCACTACCTTCTCGTGACAGGAGTGCTGTTTACGTACACACCGGCTTCGTGAGTTGGAAAACCCTGATCCCTAATGGCCTATGAACCCGTATATGGTCACAGGCTACATCTCTTGAATTAGATCTGTAAAACCAGAAGTTTAAAGAGTAAATTTCCTGGGTAAATCACCTGATCTAGTTTGGAAATTCCGTACAGTACTACAGTCCACTCACAAATCCAACAATTCGTATGTTGTATTAAAACATTTTAGGTACTCCATTGCGCATCAATGTTTATGTGCTTAAATTAAGTCGCTTATTTTTTGGAAAAAATTTCTTTTCAGGTTAAACAAGAATGTTTTGAACGTGTAAACAGTTTAGAACAAGAAAATTTAATTCTGCAACAACGTTACAGAGAACTAGAAGAAAAGGTGAAAATTCATATTATTCTGTTTATATATTTTAATTTTTATCATTTTGATGTTATCAAGATGATTTTTTTCAAAAATTTTTTAAAATTGTTTGTCTTGAATCAGTTATTTGCTTTGGATAGCGTTTTTTCTAGCGAATAGGGTTGACAACCGTTTACTCAACTCACCTCCTTTATCTGGACTTGGGACCGGGAGTAGAGTCCCAGAGGGGGCTCCTGACAGAGTTCATTGAATCAATGAATCATTGTTAATTTATCATAAAATGCAATGAATAAACATTATTCTTCAACTTTGTTCACTATACAAAAGCAATAACTTGAAAACATTGTTCAATATCTGATTGCATGATACTCAGTTGGCATTGTGTAAGTAGTAGCAGTCATAAACAAAGTCAGGCGAGTAAGTTACCATGATTTTAGAGAACAGCTCTATGCTGGGCATATCATTACTTGAATATATATGTATATAATGAGATTAATCGCTCTGAGAGAAAAGTCATGACCATTGGAACTAAATCGTATCGGATATGAGGCAGTTACTCACTGAAGACAGTAGATAATACTCATGCAATATTATGAACTGACTAGAATTAGACGTTAACACCGTTGGATGCTGTTTCAGTGGTTTGGAGTTCAGGCATTCCCATTCGATAATACAGGTGTTAGGTCCGATTCTTGTTTGCTCGATTGTTGATACACATACTGTTGAGGAGTTCTATACTAGGTTTATACAGTTATCCATTGATTCAGGATTTCCAATAGAAATCTGTGAGTGATCGATTCATAATTTCAATGCATGAATTTGCCATTATTACCCAAAATTTGACTGTTACCATAATATAAAAATAATCGATCTAGTAAACTGTTATCATCGTAAATGTTCCATGCTGTAATGACTAAAAAAATCTATATATTTAATGTGTTCGACAAATGTAACCAGTAGAAGAGAATCAGGACACATGGGAAAAATGTTTTAAGTAACTAACTGTTAATTTTAGGTGATAATAACCAGTGAATTTTTTATATTTAAACAAACAATACGATATAATATATGAAAATAATCTATATTTTCAAAGTATATTAGAGGGTTCTTGGTACTTGTTTAATTATACCAAAAATATGAAGCTGTGTTAGACAGTGTAACCCATGTGATAACCAGCGTATCAATAAGTAATTATTGTGTCACGTACCTAAATTCGAATATTCATTCAAAATGATGGGATTAAAAAACATTTAGCTTAACTAGCTTTCTCTACATTGATAATAGTTGAGCAAGTTGACAAATTAATTCATGCGTGCCCAATCCGCCTTAAGAAGAGCTGGAGGCGGACACGACATACATTTCATCATAAGACAAGTCCTCATTTCGAATCCTCAAGGCCGAAAGAAAAGAGGAAGACTAGAAGTCATATTACTCCGAGTTGGTCAGTCAGCTACAACGTAGAACTTTGTACGTACATACATCAGTTCACGTTTTCATACCACATTAGCACTCAGAGAATGAATTTTCAACTAAATAACATAGTAGCAAAAGTAGAGGCAATAACAGAAAAGACTAGGGATCCAAGATAATATTCGACAGGTATATCCTATTGAAGTAAAGTTAGGAATATCAACCACAACTACCTACATGGATCAGTTTATTTTTCTGTGACTTTATGGATTTGTGCCATGTTTTGGTTTGGCGGCCCCCTATTTTTCTTCCAGCCCACCTCTCCATCAGACAACATCGCTCGTCTAGGCAGTCCGTACTTTTGCATACGTAACACATGTCCAAACCACTTCAACTGATGAATATTCACTGCTTCATCTATTGATCTACCATCCCTACCTAGTAACCTTTTATTACTAGCAACAGCTCTGCTTGCTCGATTATCTCAGAATAAGCGAGCAATGTTTCGACGACACCTATGATCGAAAACCAATAGCCTATGAATATCCCGTACTCTTAGTGACCATGTTTCATACCCGTATACTGGGACGAAGCGAAAGTAGTCTCGTCCTTTGGTAGGTAGACAAATATCTCTCCTACACCATAAGTGACGCAAGTAGGCGGCAGTTAGTCCAACCTTCTGCATACTCGTTGAAATTTCGTCATACACTAATTCGACTCTCAAGATTAGTGAAGCAGTCAACGTACTCATCTGCTTCACTCCGTATCACTAGTCCAGGTACTAACGCAGGTCAATCCTGAAGCAACATTTTGCATTTCGAGAGGAAGAATCGCATCCCGAACACGCTTGAATTATTGCTTAAGACGTTCAGAAGACTCCGCATTTTGTCACTACCTTCACCAAGTAGAAATATGTCATTGGCATATTCTCAGTCAACAAGTGAATCTCCGGATAAAAAATCAACTGTAGAACAAGTATGTCAATAACACTAACATTACGACAGAGTATTGAAGACAGACATGAAAGTAACGAAAACCAGTTGGTTAATCACACTAAAATAGACAGCCTAAAGGGGTAGAAAATGTAAATGTACTGATTAAAAAAATCAAGTGTTTGACTAATAATTTTTAACTCATATTGTGGTGGTGTGGTGCGAACTACTTATAAGTAGTATATAGCGTGAGTGTCAACGTAAAGTCTGGTAGCATAATATGGGGGGAAGATCAAGAAAGGAAGAGTCAGAAAACAATGGAATTTGTTTGAAACGCATGAACAGTGACAATGGATTGATGTTTGGCAACAGGAACAGTCCAGTTCCATAGGATGAACTGATATTTTGCAAATGAACGATTTACGATATGGTTTTCCGATTTTACTGAGTAACTCTGTAATTTTCGTTAAATACAATTCGGTTGCCTCCACCTGTGTTCTCATTCACTACAATATGAGTTATTTTGATAATCTAATATTTTCATTTCTGCTCAAAATTATGATATTTTTAGTTTCGATAACCAAACAGTTACACAATTAAACACGTTACTCTTGATCAAGCATAGGCCGCCTACTAGCATTCTCCAACCTTCTCTGATTCGAGCATTTTTCTCCAGTTCTGATCAATTATTGTTTATCCTTCTCATTTCTCTCTCCGTTCCTCGGCGTATTGTGTTCTTTGGTCTTCCTCTTTTCGTTTGATCTTGAGGTTTCTACATGAGGGCTTGTCTTGTGACGCATTTTGGTGCTTTCATCATTGTGTGTCCTATCCACCTCCAGCTCTCCTTCCTAATTTGTTCGTCTGCTGAAATCTTCTGGTTTGTTTTCTCCCTACAGTAGGAAGTTGCTGTTGGTGACTGACCAACAGAATAATAACCAATTAGCTGAGATTAAATCTTAATTTCATAATTTTTCAGTAAAGAGATACATAATAATAATTAATTCATTCATTCATCTATTCATTGAATTAAACAGTAAACAGCAGTAACTTTTGTTTTAATTAATCCAGCATTGAAAATTGAACCAAATCATCTCAGTTTTTATTTAGTTCAATGATCATCATGATTATCGTATTGTAATTAGGACAGATAGGAAAAAAGAACTTAATTAATCTATTTTTCAAGAATGAAATTGTAGACAAAAAACGTGTTATTTCATCTGTTGATATTTTTTATCGAAAGAACGAGAAAAAAAAGTAGTTCAGTTAACAATACATAACAGTATAGAAAATGTATTTTTTTATTTTTCAATTTGCTTATTATTTCTATATAAATTAAAAGTTATCCATTTAAAAAAGTAAAAATCAACACAGATAATTTAACTTTATTACTGAAATGCTTTCTAAAGCGACAACACTTTCAACAACTGAGCTTTCAGTAGATTCACTAATAAGAGCGATGATTTGTGTAGGTTACTGCTTTTCGATCATACTTACCATCGAAGCTTTACTCATATATCCTCCTGAGACAATCGATTAAGCAATGCTGAGCACTAGGTAGGGAAGGCAGATTGATTGATGAAATAAATGGTGAATGTTCATTAGTTGAGATGGTTTGGGCATGTGTGTCGCATGCCCAGTCACCAACGATTGCCTCGACGGGTGATGCTTTGTGGTGTAAGAGTAGTAGGTTAGATGAAAGCTAGGGGTGGCCAAACCAAAACATTGCACAAGTCCAGAAAGTCAGTGAAAAGTAAACTGAGCCATGTTAGTAGGTGTAGACTACGTGGTTGGGGTCCGTGAGACAATAGTAACCGATGGTTAGAGACTTTGAATGACTTGGCTAAAATTTGTTATCAGCGGTGCAAATATATTCATCCTTTGTTTTCTGTCAAATACAAATCTTCTGAATTCCTCATGAACTGTTTTACTCTTCTTAACTTTATTTCACTGAATTATACTTCTTGAATAATATCTTCAGGCTGTGATTTTTCCGATAACTGTTAATACTTCTACTACCTCTACAACTATGGTATTTAGTTGAAAATTCATTCTCTGAGTGCTAATGTGGTATGGCAACTTGAACCGATGTATGTACATAAGATGTTTTGCGCTGTATAGGTCTCTTTAGTATGGAGCTTTCGCGACTGATGCTCGTGTGCGAACGCCTAACCTCTAGACTATAAGTCGATCATGAAAAATCATAAAAGTGTGTTCGCTAGTCACTAGCTTCATGAGGAAATTCTTGAACGTGTAGTGAGAAGCCAAAACCATTGGTTGTAGGCTATTACCAATCGAATACGATGGGTGTGGTTGGGCAGTGCCTTAGATTGATTAAAGTTAAACATTGACTCCGTCAGGTATATACTCATTGGTTTATGGGTTAGGCGTTCGCCAGCTTGACCAAAGGTCCTGAGTTCGATTGGAGGTTATGTGGTTCATAGATGCGCACTGCTGATGAGTCTCATATTAAGATAAAACAACTGTTCAGTGCTTCCAGGTTTATAATCGTGGCTGAACAAAGATCGATTCATTAGTTCGATGATGAGAAATGTAATTCACCAATTAAATAGAAGTCTAAATAACTTTGATTGTAAAACGATTGAATAAATTTTCAGGTTGAGATCGTGGAGAAAATGTGCAGCTCAGGTGAAAGATTGTGTAGGTGTTTCATTCTCTGAGCTGGATGTTTTGGTTATGGAGCTTTCATTGTTCTACTGAACCAATCAGAAAAATCATAGACAAACACAGGATCAAGAAACAGATTAAAAAAAGGGTATACAATCACAACAAAAGTGCAAACAACGACAGGTTTAAGGTCAACAACAACAACAACCAATCAAGATCGAGGTTAGCAGAACAAGCTACAACAGGTCAAACGTGAAGAAATTCGAATGCTTCACTTCTATTTGAAGTTTGTGCTTAGGATGTTGTTCAGAAGAAGAGCAATGAAAGCTCCACAACTAAAACATTCAGCTCAGAGAGAACAAAACACCCACTATACATGTTCAAGTATCGCATTTATGAGGATATACATCATGACCCATTGATTTTCTCTGACCAGTTAACCTAATATTGATGGATTCAACTGCAAAATCGTACACGGAGGACAGCTAACAAACTCTTTCGAGGTGAAGACCGGTGTGAGGCAAGGTTGCTTACTCTCACCCTTTCTCTTTCTCCTGGTCATCGACTGGATTATGAAGACGTCAACATCTGGAGGGAAGCACGGTATCAACTGGACAGTTAGGACGCAGCTGGACGATCTGGACTTCGCAGATGACCTGGCTCCTCTATCGCACACTCAACAACAAATGCAAGAGAAGACGAACAGTGTAGCAGCAGCCTCTGCAGCAGTAGGTCTCAACATACATAAAGGAAAAAGCGAAATTCTCCGATGCAACACAAAATGCACCAACCAAATCACTCTTGATGGAGATGCCTTGGAGGACGTTAACTCCTTTACATATCTGGGCAGCATCGTCGACAATCAAGGTGGATCCGATGCAGATGTGAGGGCGCGCATTGGAAAAACAAGGGCTGCATTTCTACAATTGAGAAATATCTGGAACTCCAAACAACTCTCAACCAAAACCAAAATCAAGATTTTCAATACAAATGTGAAGACAGTTCTACTGTATGGAGTGGAAACATGGAGAACTACGAAAGGCATCATTGAGAAGATACAAGTGTTTATTAAAAGTGGTTTACGCAAAATACTTCGGATTCGTTGACCAGACACCATCAGCAACGACGTACTTTGGGAGAGAACAAACCAGATTGCAGTGGAGGAGGAAGTCAGGAAGAAGCGGTGGAAGTGGTGGATAGGACACACACTACGAAAAGCACCTAACTGCGTCACAAGACAAGCCCTCACTTGGAGCTCTCAAGGCAAAAGGAAAAGAGAAAGGCCAAGGAATACATTACGCCGAGAAATAGAGAAAGATATGAGAGGAATGAACAAACATTGGACAAAACTGGAGAGGGAAGCTGAGGACAGAGTTGGTTGTAGAAAATTGGTGGGCGGCCTATGCTCCTTGATTGGGGGTAACGGGCGTAAGTAAGTAAATAAGTAATTTAAAAACAAACATTAACACTCAATTTATTTCAATGAAAATATACATTGATGAACATTTTAGCAAAATGTTAAACAGAAGAAATTTATGTATGTATATATATATGCTTATTCTTTTGTGACGTTTATGAATAAATGGAGAAATGTACTTACTTGTATTATGAATTGCATTATTGAAGTTCAATATATATATATATATATATATATATATATATATATATATATATATATATTATGCCTTTCATAACAAATGTAAATGATGTTTTAATGAATAGGTTTAATGTTTAGATACACACAAACACCAACTGAAACAACTATAACAACTTACAATCATCCCAGTGCATATACAGATGTTTATATTACAATCAAATTAAACTGGAACTATGTAAATTAATGATGATGATATTCTTCTAACTTTTTTTTCCCTTAGAAAAATGGAAAAACGAACGAACGAAATAACTTTATTTTAAAAAAAAAAAGAAAATTCAAACACTGATTTCGCGCTTATTCGAACATAAATTTCCAATGTCTTTTTTGCCTTAGTTAATTAAACATCTATCTGCATATAAATCACAGCAAAACTGAAAAATAGACTAATGTACACATTGAATTAATTAATTAATTAATGTGAGTGATCAAAAAATTAGGAACACATTGGAAACAATCTGTCGGTAGTAGTAGTAGTAGTAGTAGTAGTAGTAGTAGTAGTAGTAGTAGGAGGAGGAGGAGGAGGAGGAGGAGGAGGAGGAGGAGGAGTGGTAGTAGTAGTAGTTAAAAGACAAAAGTGAAAATTTACGTGATTCATTGTGTTGTGTGTGTTCGTTTATATACTACTTTTTAAGAATTGAAAGTAGTCAATTGCCTTAAAATGATATTTTACAGATGATATAATGAATTCAAGTCCATTTTCTAATTTGTGTCAGTTTCTTCATTAGGGTGATGTTAAAACTAAAATTATACTGTCGACAGCCACCCAAATTCAACTAAAGTCTCATTTATATCACAATCGAGTACATGTAAGCTATCGATCTCATAGTATTCATGGTAATTACCAATCCAACCCACCTCACAGGATTCGAGCCGAGGACTTTCGAACTTGAGCGCGAACGCCCAATCCCTGAGGCTGTGCAAGATCTCTCGATCGATCAGAGTTGGGCAATAACGCCGTCGGATTCCGGCCCAGTGGTCTGAAAAGGTTAGGCGTTTGCGCGCAAGACCGAAGATTCTGAGAAATGCAGGAGTCATGTATGCGCACTGCTGATGAGTCTCATACCAAGACTGTTCTGTTTTACGGTAAAAAAAACCAAGTTATAAACGAAATTGACAAATAAGTATATTTAATGAATATTGAATTTCTGTAATTGTGGTGCGAGCTACTTATAAGTAGTATATGACGTGAGCGTCAACGTAATGTCGGGCAGCAGAAGATGGGGGAAGATCAAGAAAGAAAGAGTTAGAAAACAATGGAATTTGTATGAAACGCATGAATAGTGGCAATGGATTGATGTTTTGCAACAGGAACATTCCAGTTCAATGTGATGGACTGATATTTTGCAAATTGACGATTTACGATATGGTTTTCCTATTTTACTGAGTAACTCTGTAATTCTGTATCACAAACTTTTAAAAATTGAAAATAGAATTAAATACTGCAGTGCTAAAATCAAGTTAATCGTTGATTTTAAGAAAATGAATTATTGTCTGAAGGATATTCTTAATTGAAATCCGATCACCATTAGTTAGTATGCATGTAAGTCGATTGTGACTAGCAGTGGAATCCAGAATGTACAATTCATCCTACCTGTCACTAACTAACAAGATCCGATTTATTTACAAAATATATAAAAATTAAATGTTAGGCTCGGTCAGACACAATCATGGCGCCAAATCTAGAAAGTCACTGACAACTGCACTCAGCCATATTGGTAGGCGTTGACTACGTGGTTGAGGCCGGCAAGGCAATAATAGTAACCGATGGTTAGAGACCTTGAATGGCATGGCTAAAAATCGTTTGCAGTAGTGCAGGTGCATTGATTCTTTGTGTTCTCCTAAGTTTTTTAGTCTTCTGAATTCCTCCTTCTAAATTTATTCCGCAGGCTTATACTTCTTGAATTACATCTTCTAACCCTAATCTTTTTGATGACTGCTTATACTTCTACCACCTATATTACTATGTTACAACGGATAAAAACTGCAGAAATTTAAATATTGTCCAATCCAAGTTAGCTTTCCATACATAAACTGACCGCTTTATAGTTCTGTTGTCCCTTCAACTCAACAACATGTCTTAAAAACAGCAACTGATCATTACTCGCTAATTTGTGGGTCAAGACAATGTCATTCGGAAGGTTTGTAGTGTGTCAATTTACTGCGTGTACTTAAGCTCGGCAATTAACTCGTCTAGACAATCTTCACTAAATAGCATCTGACAGTTTATAAATCAGAAGGTGAACTCGAAGTGATGAATACGTTTATTTGGGACACGTTACAAAGCGAAGCGGAGAAGCAAAGAATAAAACGAATGAAGCGACGTGAATTGGAGAAGGCTAATGAGCCAACTCCTAGGATTACAAGGCGAACGAATGGGCGAAAGAAGCGGATGAATAGGAGAAGCGCGTTAGAGAAGGCCAAGAGCCAACTCCCAGAGATAGAACATGACTAAGAATATATAGTCAGACAAATATAAGACAGACATGAGACAAGCGAAATAGGCACACATGAATAAAAGCGACGAATAGTTGACAAGGTCAAATGACAAGTGGGATATGACATGTGAGCTCATACAAACCAGACAATAATAAGGTCCAAAGGTCCCGGGTTCGAATCCTGTGAGGAGCAGGAGTCGTGGATGCGCACTGCTGAGGAGTCCCATACTAGGACGAAACGGCCGTCCAGGGCTTCCAGGTTTCTAATGGTGGTCTAACAATGATGATTGATTAATGATTTCAAATGTGTAAACACACAAACCTCCAAAACTGTGCCCCAATATATCGTAACAGTGCTCACTAGTGACTAGCTTCGTGAGGAAATTCTCGGAGTTCTAGTTGAGAAGACGTGACCAGTGGAGTTCAACCCTGTCGGGTGTAGGCAGTAACTACCCAAGACAAATGGGTGAGGTCGCGCGAAATCCCTAGATGAATAATAAGAACGAATGGTACATATAAATTGTTGCAATGCACAAGTGGCTTGGTTAAATAAATTAATCGAAAAGGGCTTAACCAAGTTAAAAAATGTAAGCGAACTCGAATATATGTAGAGGCACTACAGGCTATTGAAATTATTCACTAACTGAGACAGAGAGAGACACCGAATCCCTTATCGCTTTTGTAATGTTCATAAATCGTTCTCCCGAATTCTTTTGTGTGTAATTAATATCCCATTTTATTTCTAAAAAAACTACAGGTATTACCTTTGACAAATTCATTGAATGGACAAGAAAAAAATCTTAAAGAATGTTTAAAATTATTCTGCGCCAATTTGAATAATCATTCAACTGAATTGAATTTCCCGCCAAATCATCCTCCATCCAATCCAATAATTGAACAACTAATCAACCTCTTACTTTATACAAATTTATCTCAAAAAGTAAGTTCATAATAAATAAAAAAATAGTCTTTTTTTTATAAAATTTTTGCATAAAAAATTTGATTTTAGAGAGAAAATTGGTGAAAAATGTTACTTGAACACGTTAATCAGTAACATATCGATACTGCAGTTCGAATTGATTTGTTATAATAATAACATGTATCACTAAATTGTACCGAAAATTTTATTTTTCCAATAGGTGAATGAGAATTTGTGACCAGTGGAGTTCAAACCTGTTTAGGTGTAAAAAGTAACTACTTGAAAACAATGTATGAGGTTGTGCAGGACCGTGAATTCGCCGAAGTTAGATATTAACACCGTTAGATACCGGCTCAGTGGTCCAGAGGTTGATTAAGCGTCTACGCGCAAGATGAAAATCATTGGTTTGAATCGTACCGGTAGCAGGAGTCTTGGCTACGCACTGCCACTGATGAGTTCCATATCAGGAAGAAACGACCGTCCAGTGCTTCCAGGTTTCTAATGGTGATCTGACAATGATTCATTGATAATTTCAATGTGTAAAAAGTAATGATATCATTGGATGTAATAACAACAGTTTCTGTACCAAAGTAAAATACGATTCTAATGTTATCATTAATTATTCAAATATGGCCCAACATTGATCGATTCATGATTTCAATGTGCAATTTATAAATTAGTTATACTTGACCTCGAAATCATGAATTAATCATGGCTAGACTTTCACCATTGGAAACCGACAAGCATCGAGAGACAGCCGTTTCATCCTGGTATGGTACTCATCAGCAGGGTGCATCCACGACTCCTGAAACTCGCGTTACTCACACCCAGGACCTTCAGGCTTGATATGAAGTAGAATATGTATTCTACAAGCATCCAGAAAGTACGAGCTGTGAGTCCAGAAGAGAATCAGGATCCCGGACTAGGGATCCGGGTCCGGGTCACAGAACGTTATACATAGTGCAGTTTGTAGTGTTCCGATTTGGGTGTTCTTACGTTTCGTAATTAGCTCGTTCAGACAATCGTTACTAAATGACGTCTGACGGTTAATAAATCAGAAGACAAATTCGTAATGATGAATACGTTTATTCGGGACACACCACAAAGCGAAGCGAAGAAGCAGTGAATAAAACGAATGAAGAGACGTGAACTGGAGAAGACTTTTGAGCCAACTCACAGAGATGAGCATGACTAGAAATATATAGTCAGACAAAAATAAGGCAGACATATGACAAGCGAAATAGGCGCGCACACACATGAATAAAAGCGACGAATAGTTGACAAGGTCAAATGACAAGTGGGACATGTCATGTGAGCTCATACAAACCAGACAATAATAAGAACGAATGGTACATATAAATTGTTGCAATACAAATGGCTTGGTTAAATAAATTAATCGAAAGGACTTAATCAAGTTAGATGTAAGCGAACTGGAATATATGTGTAGGCACTACAAGTTTATACATTTAGGTTGAATAGGAAACAATATTGAAGTCTGTGACATTGACAGTTAGGGCGACCGATAGGAAACAATATTGAAGTACGCGACATTGATAGCTAGGACGACCATAAAATGGACCAGTAGGAAGGAATTAGCCAATAGAATTAGATTACTGAACTCTTCTTTTTTTCTATCTTTCTTCTTTAATTAAGGATATCTTACTTAATTGTCATCAATTGCATAAACGTGTAGTTCAATTAGAACAAATCAATTCTATTCTATGTTCAATTCTATGTGATGAAGAATTCATTTCAACATTGAATAAGAAACATTTAAATGATGAGAATACACATGAAATTCATCGAAAAAAAACTTATCATCATCATTCATTAGACGTGGAAGATATAACCAATGTGGAATTATCAAAATTATATCAAAAATTAAAAACTTTATCGAAAAAATCATTCAATTTATCAAATAAAACAATACATTCCTATTTGAAACATTTTACACTGCCAACAAAACATTCATTACGCATAAATTATCATTCAGCTGATAGTTTATTTGTACATACTACTGAAACTACTGAAAAACTGGGAGTCACCGTATCAGACAATAATTTAATGAGTAACAGTATGCATAAAGATCCAATTCATTGCATAAATGTGAATTTGGATGATAAGTATGTACAAAATTCAACGAATGTTCATGAATTATTGTCTTTATCAAATAAATGTTCACTACATAAACAACCGTTGCATTATTCAACTATGGAGGTAAGTAAATTATATATATATATATATATATATATATTGTTCTGAATTTCATTCATACACAATGAAAGTATCTCATTGAAACTCCATAATCTTTACAACTACTGTACGACGATAATCATAAAATGTACTCAGTGATGATCAACTTCGTGAGAATACGTGGGAGCGTAATTATTTATCCCTTTATCTTAATTCATGGAGCCAACAGATCTTTTCAACAATAATTACTTAGTTACTTAGGCTTGTTACCCCTGCCCTAATGAAGCCCACCGGTATTCTCCGACTTACTCTTTCCTCGACCTTCCTTTCCAGTTCTGTCTAATTAGTGTCCATTGTTACGCCGGCACGTAAACACGTCAACTTGATATGTTTGAATTACTACGAGTTTACCTAGTCGGAAAACGAGAGCGACGATCGAGGATCCAGCGACAAGACATGCCACTCAAAGCCGATTATCCTAACCCCCATATTGAGTAGAAATAAGAAGGCTTGATATGAAGTAAAACATGTATTCTACAAGCATCCAGAAATTACGAGGTCCAAATCCAGAAGAGAATCACGATCCCGGACTAGGGATCCGGGACCGAGTCCTGGTCCAGGTCATAAAACGTTACAGATAATGCGTATTTATACATTTTGGTCGAATAAGAACCGGCGTCAAAGTCTGTGACATAGACAGTTAAGACGACCAATAGGAAACAACATTTGAAGTGACATTGATAGTCAGGACAACCGATAAGAAACAACATTGGAGCACGTGACACTGTTGTCTAGGACGACCATAAAATTGACCAGTAGGAATTAACCAATAGGAACTGACCAATAATGCTCTTAGGATATTGGATGAATATCCTAACAACATTCTTCTCTCATCTGTCTCCATTTCTCGACGTATTGTGTTTTTTTCCATTGGCCTTGATGGTTCCAAGCGAGGACTTGTTTTGTGTGATACAGTTAGTTAGATGTTTTCCTCAATATGTTTCCTCAAACACTTTCAATGCCCTTTACTTATTTCTTCTTCCACTGGAATGTGATTTGTTCTCTCCCACTGAAGACTGCTATTGTAGTGAACGAGAACACAGGTGAGGCAACCGAATTGCATTTAACGAAAATTACAGAGTGACTCAGTAAAATCGGAAAACCATATCGTAAATCGTCAATTTGCAAAATATCAGTTCATCATATCGAACTGGAATGTTCCTGTTGCAAAACATCAATCCATTGTCACCATTCATGCGTTTCATACAAATTCCATTGTGTTCTAACTCTTCCTCATTTCTTGATCTTCCCCCATCTTCTGCTGCCAGACATTACGTTGACGCTCACGTCATATACTACTTATAAGTAGCTCACACCACATGTCACCTAAAATTCAAAAGCAAGCATCAAATTTATCGCTCCATATGGATTCACTGTGTGTATTAATGAATAGATATCTTATTGTAATACTGTTTCTGATGTTCGTTATTATTTGTTCAGTAGAATATAAAGCAATATTAATTACTAATAATTGAGAATGATTTTATTTACAAAATTACCTTGATATGTTGAAACGGATGCCTCAATCATAGAAGTAATAAATAAGGCTCACAGACTCGTTCAAAGTAAAGACAGGTGTTAGGCAAAGTTACTTACTCTCACCCTTTCTCTTTCTGTTCTGGTGATCGACCGCACTATGAAGACATCAAAGACATCAGGAGAAAAGCATGGTATACAGTGCACAGTCAAGGTGCAGCTGGACGATTTGGACTTCACAGATGATCTGGCTCTTCTATCTCACACGTAACAACAAATGCTAGAAAAGATTACTAGTGTAGTAGCTGCCTGTGCTACAGCACGTCTCAATGTACCAAAGGGTAAAAGCAAGACTACGAGATACAACACAACATATACCAACCAAACCACTCTTGATGGAGGTTCCGTGGACGACGTTAATATCTTTACGTATCTTGGGAGCATCGTCGACAACCAAGGTGGATCCGATGCAGATGTGAGGGCACGAATCGGCAAAACAAGGACAGCATTTCTACAACTGAACAATAGTTGTCGACAAACACCAAAGCCGTAATTTTCAATACAAATGTAAAGATAGTTCTAATGCATTGCGGGCAGAAACTTGGAGAACTACGAAAGCCATCATCCGGAAGATACAAGTGTTCATTAACTGCTGTCTTGAGAAAATACTTCGGATTCGCTGACCAGACACTGTCAGCAACGATCTACTGTGGGAAAGAACAAACTAGATTCCAGCGGAGGAGGAAATCAGGAAAAACCGTTGAAAGTGGATAGAACATACTTTCAGGAAAGCACTTGACTGCGTCACAGGACAAGCCGTCATCTGGAATCCCTAGGGCTAGCGGATAAGAAGAAGACCAAGGAACTCATTAGTCTGTTGATTCGAGACAGCAAGTAAGTAAGTAATTAAGTAATTAAGTAAGTTACTTTTCAATTTATCTTCATCCTTCTGCCTTAACCATTTCCTTATATACTCCTATTTTTCGCCTCATTCTCTTATGTATCTCTCTTTGTATGCTCGGTATAGACTGTGGAAGCACAACAACACCAACGGAATTTAAGAATATTTAACTGGATACAATCTAAATCGCTGCCTAATTTAAAAACAAATTCACCACTAACCAATATTGATTCCATCATGAAAGAGACTTGTTCACGAGCGAACTCTCTCAACTTATTAACTGATTATTCTTCATTCGAACATACGCATGAACAAATTATGATATCATCAGAAAATTTATTAAAATCTAATCAAGATTTGAATATTTTCAAAAGATCATCACATCATCATACATTAGCCCAGAATATTAACACTTCACTCGTAGATAAAGCTAAACATGACCTACATTGGTTAAATAAACCATTGCCTAAAGGATGGATACAGCTGCAAGATTTACCACATAGTGGATTTCCACATGAAACCATTGGAACACACAGTCATATGATATTAGGATCAAGAAGTCTACCATTATTATTACTAGTGAATAAACCAATTGGAAATTGTGAAAAACCCGCCAATTCTAATTTCACTCTTTCATCAACCAACAATTCGCATGCATTTCGTAGTTTACATGTGAACAGTGTTCAATTGAAACCGATTATGGAAGTTGATTCTGGTCCGTCAAGTTTTCATGAATCACTTGCTAATCATACTACTGCTACTAATACTACTACTAATAATAATAATGATATGAATAAAAGTGACAATCATTCAAATGTCAATTATTCTATTGAACAGAATCATGAAGAAAAGGTGAATCATTCTAGTAGACAATCAAAAGATTCTGTAACATTGAATCATAAAAGTATGGAATTTCTCTCCAATTCCAAACATATTTTATGCAGGTCAGTTTTATGCAATGTTGTTGTTGGTGTTTTTTGAGTCAATTCAAGTGATTTTTCTTTTGAAACCATGAATCGATCATTGTTAGACCACCATTAGAAACCTGGAAGCACTGAAAGACGTCCGGTTCGTCCTGGAATGGGACTCATCAGTGGCAGTGCGCATCCATGACTCCTGCACCTCGCAGGATTAGAACACAGGACCTTCGGTATTGTAGGCGAACGCCTAACCATTGGACCACTGAGCCGGTATCTAACGGTGTTGATGTCTAACTTGATCAATTCACGGAGTCGCGCAACCTCATACACAGTCTTCTGTAGTTACTGTCTACACCCGATGGTTAGGCGTTCGTCTACGATACCATAGGTCCTGGGTTCGAATCCTGCCAGGTGCAGGAGTCGTGGATGCGCACTGCCACTGATGAGTCCCATACCAGGACGAAACGGCCGTCTTTCAGTGCTTCCAGGTTTCTAATGGTGGTCTAACACTGATCGATACATGGTTTCAAAAATGTGTAACTTAACAATCTTCACAACCCCGTAATTTCAAGCGATTGTTTGATTTATTTCTCTTGTGTTACAATTTTAATGTAATAAAGCTCATTACATAATGATTAGTTAAACTAACAGTAGTTTGGTTGCGATACTGGATCAGTCAATGTTAGAGCATCGTTAGAAACCCTGGAAGAAAACTAGACGGCTGTTTCCTACTTGTTTACGGGACTCACAAGTAGTGCGCATGTAATGATCTCGGCAAGGATTGAACTCAGGATCTTTGGTCTTGCATGAGAATGCCTAACCCTCTAGTCCACCGAGCTGGCACAATCCAGCGGTGTTAATCTCATAATTGATTCAATTTTTACAAAATAACTGTCCAGTACTTACCTACTTAATTACGCCTGTTAACCCCCAACGGAACACAGGCCATCAACCAGTTTTCTCCAACCAACTCTATCCTGGGCTTCCCTTTCCAGTTCTTTCAACTGTTGTTCATTCTTATCATGCCTATCCCTAATCCTCGTCCTAATATGTTCTTTGGCCTTTCCGTTTTCCTTTGAGCTTGAGATTTCTGATGGAGGGCTTTTCTTGTGATTAAGCTGGGTGCTTTCTTGTTAGGATATTCATCCAATATCCTAAGAGAATTATTGGTCAGTTTTATGGTCGTCCTAGAAAACAGTGTCACGTGCTCCAATGTTGTTTCTCATCGGTTGTCCTGACTATCAATGTCACTTCAAATGTTACTTCCTATTAGTCGTTCTAACTATCAATGTCACAGAATTCGATGCTGTTTCTTATTCGACCAAAATGTATGTATGTATACGTATTATCTGAAAGGTTTTATGGTCAGGACCTGGAATCGGTTCCGGATCCGTAGTCCAGGATCGTGATTCTCTTCTGGACTCGGACCTAGCACTTTCTGAGTGATTGTAGAATACATGTTTTACTTCATATCAAGTCTTCTTATTTCTACTCAATATGGGGGTTGGGATAATCGGCTTTGAGTAGCATGTCGTGTCGCTGGATCCTCGATCGTCGCTCTCGTTTTCCGACTAGGTAAACTCGTAGTAATTCAAACATATCAAATTGACGTGTTTACGTAAAGGCGTAACATTTCTGCAGTGTTTGTCCTATCCACATCCAGCTCTTCTTTCTGTTTTCTTCCTCCACTGGAATCTGGTTTTTTCTCTCCTACAGTAGATTCTTGCTGATGTTGCCTGGCCAACGAATCCAAAATATTGTGCATAGACAACTGTTAATGAATACATCTATCTTCTGGATGATGGCTTTCATAGTTCTCCAGGTTTCTGCTTCTTACGGTAGAATTGTTTCTAATATTAGCCTAACATTGATACGATTTGACAAAACAAACAATTTCAGCAAAGATTTTTTTATGATTCAATGTAATCGAAACATGGAATATTAAAAATTGTTTTCTTTTTTTAAGATACTGGAGCAGTAGTGGAGTAATTCAGGTAGATAATTTGTGGTGGAGTTTCATTCTTTCAGCTAGAGATGTTCTTCTTCTTCTGAATTACGCCATCATCAGTAAGTAGCACAATAAACTTCAGAGAGATGAAGTGAACTATTCGAAATTTCCCACATAAAATTGTATTGGGTTCATCACTTAGTCGATAAATGCGAACGAGGCAATGAACCAGCGTCCAGTTAGGCCAACTTGAATCCTAAGCTGAAGTAAAAAGGCTTTGTAAGCGTAGAGAGTATATTCTACAAACACCCAGCAATCACAGTACAATCAAGCATACAACTCTCGTTTATTTATACATCATAGAAATGTCCTTGGGACAGTTATGATAATAGCACACTAAAATACAGAGCAGCCAATCACAGCCATGGATTTCGCTGGTGAGAAATGAAATCTCAAGGTCAACTGATCAGCCTATGCTGGCAAACGTAGAATCCAAAATATTATTATTATTGTTTATGCTTCTACTACCTCTACTACTATGGAACTTGAATTGACACTCCGATCTCTATGGGCTAATGTGGTATAGCCATTTGAACTGATGTACGTACGTGCGAAGTTCTACTATGTAGCTGACTGAAGTATTTTCCTTTCATAGATCACACTATCAGAAGCCTGCTTTGACTTTTATTTGATATATGTAAAAATATATGCGCCTAATTCTAAATAAAGGAAAAATTAAATTTGTCCGTCACTTAGTCGATAAACGCGAACGAGACTTTTACCAGCATCCAGGTAGGCTACCTTGAATCGGAGGCTGAAGTAAAAAGGCTTTGTAAGAGTAGAAAGTATATTCTACAAACACCCAGCAATCACAATACACAATTAAGCATACAACTCTCGTTTATTTATGCATCGTAGAGACGTCCTTGAGACAGTTACGAAAATAGCACACTAAAATACAGAGCAGCCAATCACAGCCACGGATTTTGCTGGTGAGAAATGAAATCTCAAGGTCAACTGATCAGCCTATGCTGGCAAACGTAGAATCCAAAATAAGGCATTTAATAAGCGATTTTTGGGGATCTAACATCCCCAACAAATTGATCGTTGTTGTTGACCTGAAACCGTTTATTTTTTTTAGCTAAAAATGACTATAATTTGTTACTTATTTGACAAACTGAGTATGATTGTCGTCTCATTCGCTTTTATACAAACAAACCAAACCATACTACACCATCAGTGTCATTAATGGCCACTAATAAATTACTTTGTACTTCTACTACTAACAAGTTAATTAATAACCGCAAAAAATTACAATGTCATTAATAATAATAATTAGATTAGATTAGATAAGATAAAAGAGTAGAGGAGAGCATCATCCACTCTCTCAACTAATTAAATCATGTCCTCTGTTTAAATCGGTTGGCAAAATCGGTTGCTCTTTAAAAAAACAAATGTCAATTTTTATGAATGTAATGTTGTATAATTTTTATTTGACTAATTATTTATTGTAAGTAAAACTTCTGTTTGGTTGAATAAAACAAGAGAAATATGAGAAACAGTTTATAATAATGATGATAATAATAAAAATGAATTTTGCATTGAAATGTCATCCATGTGTATACACACACATCTACATATAAATATTTGAAGAAATTCGAAACTAATTGAGTCGCATAAATAATGAAACTACTTTTCATTAAAATGAGTTATTATCATAATTAAGAATCTAAATGAAACAAACTGTTAAAAACCAATTAAAAAGGTTCATGTCGACCAAATTGTAATAATAATTTAGTAAGTAAAAGAAGGCGGCGTCATTGGTAATGGATTTTTCCTCAAAAATCTAATAAAGTGTTCATATATACTTAAGAAAAAAAACACTGTTTTTGAATTCCTTTTGGTGAATAGTTATCCTGCTTGATGTTGCATACTTTCATGAATGGTTTATGATTGATATACATTTGTGAAAATGGTACCCTTCAAGTATATGTTGGAAATGTGTTATTGTCAAGTCAGTCGCTAGCAATTCTTTTCTGAATGTGTTATACTATGTATGCCCCGTTAGAGTGGGATTTAATCTGTTTGAGAAAGATGGAAGTGGTGCTTATCTGACATTTACGAACCGCCGCAATATGGTTCCAACAGCTATGTTTGATGCGTCAATCACGACGGCTAGAGGCGTTTGGCTTTTTCGTCGTACTAACATCGTCTTCTCATCTAGCGTACACGCTTAGCGTTCTGAAATATCTATACAGTTTCTGCTGACAGATAGAATGTGCGGGAATTTCCTCGCAAAATGTCTATTCACTGTTGTAATGTAGTTACGCAGTTTACTAGCTCAAGGAATAGTCGTGATTTTTTTATGATTCAGGCTACGGATAATAATGAATAACTGCAATTTCTGACAGAAGTGGTGTGATGCCATGAGAATTTATCAATATGACCTAGGTATTACAATGATCGTTTTACAAACTGACACTTCTCAAAGCTAACAGTAACGCCATGTTCTTGTAGTTTTGTAGACAACTCTCTCAGCTGTTGTCAGTCAGTCAGTCAGTTGCAATGTGGAACTTCGTACGTACGTACATAAAAGCATGTTACCATACCACATTAACACAAAGACGCAACTTTCATTTCAAATCCCGTAGTGGTGGAGATAGTAGAAGTATAAGTGGCAGCTACAACCTTGACGTGGTGGTCATGCTTGCCTATCGTGATGACCCAACCGAGCTATATTGGCTGGAACATATGTTCCTGAAGGTTCCACCGTGCCAGGCAGGTCGATTTCAGAACGATCAGACTAAAAGCAGCTACTCAAGGTCTGATGGCGAAGACGTACTGCTGACTGTAGAGAGGTGTGACAGCAGTAAGGTGTTTCCCTCGGACAACCAGAATCTGCAGTGATGCTGTATTCTCACAAGGCAGGAAGGGATTAGAAAAGGTTGACCCTAAAAATACCACATCTCACCTTAACTCATGGATTTCCGTCTCTGTCGGTAAGGACTGCCCACTAAGGGCTTTTAAGAGTGGAGCTAATACTCAAAAATCTTTCATAAAAAGGCAGTGCGTGATC